AGTTTAAAATTGTAATGAGAGTCCTGCAACCTTACTGGAACAAGATCTGTGATGAGAGTCCTCATACCTTGAGTAACAGGGCGTTTTCCCGTCCTCGGTGTGAAACAGACGTCGCTACGGCAAGTTGAAGTCTCCCCACACAATCAGAGTCAGGAAAACTGGCCAAAGTTTTCAAAATTTGAATTGGGGTTTCATCTACCTCCCAAACCAACCCCATTCCAACATTTAAGGCTCTCATTCAATTCCTACTGTCCAAGAATTCTATCCTTTGTTTCTTTTCTAATGTTAGGAGAGGGTCCATGTGCAGCAATGGAGCTTTAAAAGCTGTATTGTACTGATGTTGCAGTAAAAGTAAATGATATGATGCTATGCTTCAGGCTTGCCCAAATTAGCTATCCTATAGCCTTCCTTCCTCTAGTGCCTTTTAAGGAGAGATTGGAGGTAGATGCATTTCTTAACAACACTCCCACATGGTGTTGGGTTTTGTTAAATGAGGTTTTAGGATTAAAGTTTTACGAAAACTAAAATCAGGGATCGAGTCTCAGTACTTTAGGGAAATGTAATAAGTGAGTAGGAAGGCCAAAATAGTACGTTGATCGATGTACTTACGAATAAAGAAACATACTGATCCGAAGAAGAATTCTAATCAAATTAAATGAAATAATATCATTACAAACTCAACAACAAAATGAAAAACACCACAAAATTTTAATTAGCTTGAAGAATGGTTATAAAATGACAGAGAAAAACAAGTTTTCTTTTTCTCTTTCTTTTATCTTCATGGTTTGCAGATTACAACAAAGCAAGGAAGCAATGCTCTAGGATTCAGCAAATAAAGCTCTTCAATGTTGGAATGTAATCCCACTTTGCCAGCCAAAGAATCAAACCCTGTCTGGCCAATCATTTCTTGTATGTTCTCTAATGGCCTATGAACCCTCCCTGCAATCACTCTGCAGATTATCAATGCCTTCTTTGTCGAGCTCTCCTCTGTCGTTACGATGGTTTCTAAGGCTTTTCCACTCGTCGAAGTCGTGAAAACTCCTATTTCTTCTTTCATGTCCTTCTTTGCTGAGAAACCACTCCTTATGATTCTGCAAACACTGCATTTCTGTGATATGCAGAGGCTGGGGGAGCCATTTTGTCCAAGAGAGCAGGCCAAAGTCGCCCCAAAAAACCTCAGTAGCTCGTTCCCATCGGCGAGGCACCGAGGGTGTTTCTTCGAAAGCTTGCTGGCCTTGATCTTCACCATTTCCCTGTATTCTTCGAATCCAGCTAGTGTTTTCTGCATGTTGTGAACTTTGAAGACTCTTTCAATCCGATTTCCATTGTTCTCGGACTTCAACCAGTTCGTTCGACATATTATTTCAACGATTTTCCTTGATGAATCTCCTTCCATGAGCTCAGTAACTGAGGAAAAAGAGAGCACGATCAGATTCTTACAGAAGGAAATTTATAGCTATTGTGATGAACCAATAGAAACATTAAACATTGTAATAGATAATTAACAGAATGAAGAAAGGAACTTCAAACACAAGAAGATTAGCAAGGAAATGTCAGTCAGATTCAGCAAGTAAACGTCTAAGATCTACTTTTCAAGTTTTATAAACGTAGATCGCGTGCCAAAACAAGAACCAAAACCAAACTTAGCTCATATTTGAAATATCAGTAAGGATATCTATCTAACCAGCATGCTTGGAGAGATGGTGAGACTCAGCAGCATCCAATTTGCAGAACTGTTCTCCACATTTATGGCAAGTAACCGCCGATAACGTATTACCGTTAGATTCGGTTAGCGGGGCGAACCTTCTGCTTGTATGAACTTCCACACCCCCCTTAGATTTAGCAGTACTCCCAGCTGCAGACTCATCTCTATATGATGAAAGAGAAGGTAGCTTTCTTGCAGCTATTATGGAAGTAGTACTAAGAGGAGAATTGGAGTTGTTAGTGAAGTTCTCCCCTGGACCGGGAGTTCCCGGCCTTAGAGTACCGAAAATTGGTGAATTCCCGCCGCCACCTCCACCAAAGCCACCATTTCCCACACCCTCTTGATGGAAACCTCCAAAGCCAGTGATCTTGAGCTCACACTTTGAGTTGCTCAATATGACTTCGTGGGCAATCGGGTTGAGGAACTCGCTGCTACCGATCGACCTCGGGCTGCAAATTGGCGGCTTCTCCATGTGCCTCTTGCTTCCATGGATGACATCTTTGAGATTTGCTATGGACCTTGAACAGCCAGACCTCCCAGAAGAACAGCCTGACTTCTTGGCTGGTTTCTTAGTTGTGATTGAGTTGAGTTGTTTCCTGCACTTCGGATCATAGACTTCTGATGGCTCTGGTTTGCAAGGGAACGACTTTTTCAAAGAAAACCAAACTGTTGGCATATTTTCCCCTCTCCCACTCCCCTCCAAACTTCCTTTCAATTCATCAACATTCTTCCCATTCTCCTCCTCCGGTCGCTGTTTTTCGCTCCTCCACGTCTCGTAGTCCAACCGCTAAGCTCTCAGACAGCAGTTTCCTACTGAAGTAGATCGAGAAGACGACCGATAAGTCGACAGAAACGAAGGAAACAGAGCAACTGTGGGTGGTGGAGAACAGATGAGAGACAGGCAAGCAACTATATATATATTAAACACTTCAGGCTGAACAGTAAGAAACAAAGAGAGAGAGAAAAACTAAGAGTTTGACTGCCATTTCAACCATTACCCACTACTCATTCTTCATTTTCAACTCAAGAAAGCCAGAGAATTGTGAAGGTTTTGTTCAACATATTGGTTTGTACATGACTTTTCAAGGTTTAAATGAACTAGAATCAGCACAAGAATGGAGTTTTCTTTTGCCTTGTGGTAAAATCTTTTGCTTGTGTTGAGTTTTTGTTGATCTTTGTGCAGTTGAGAGCAGTGGGTGAATTCAGGCTTCAGCTGAAGGCTCTCTCCATAGTCGAAAGGAAGGAAGGAAACCAATTTGTGTTCATGCTTGGGCTGGGCTTTAACTATGTAGCATGTGTTGGGATGGCCCATATAATTTTATGTAAAAATTTGTATTTTTTAAGAATTAATTATAAATATCGTGTTTTTTCTCGTCATAAGACCTCCACTAATCTCGCAAGACAAATGAGTGATCGAACTCATAACCTCTTGATTGAAGATATATGTCAATTACAGTTGTGTTATGCTCGCTTTGACGATAAATTACAAGTTTAATCTATAAATTTTTAAAGGTTGTGTCTAGTAATATCATGATGTTTCTAGACTTTCAATTTTATGCCTAATAGTTTCCTTGTGTTAATAAATCATTAAACTTTCAATGTCATATTTAATAGGTCGTTGAACTCCAAATTTTGTGACTAAGTCCCTAATATTTTCAATATTTTTTAAAAATTTATGAACACATTAGACGTAAAATGGAATTTCGTGTCTATTAGATCTCTGAACTTTCAATTTTATGTCTAACAAGTCTATAAATTTTCAAATATGTTGAATATGTCAGATACCTATTTGACACAAAACTGAAAGATTATATACCTATTAGACACTTCCAATATTTTAGAACTCATTTGACACAAAATTGAAAATTCAACGACTTATTAGATTTTTTTTAGTTTAAAAACTTATTAGACACGTTATTAAAAGTTCACTATTAAACTTTTAATTCAACCAAATAAAAAGTACTCATTAATGATTTTGGTGATGGTGATCACACCAAGTTATTTCAATAAAAGATAATACTTTTGAAGCCTCGTGATTAAGGTGAGATTAATAGTCCATTAATGAAGGTTCAATGCATATAATTGTGCCTCTATGATAGTTAATGATCTTTTAATAAGTCTTCATTATTATCAATATTATTTAAAAATTAAAACAATTGCGGTTTTTGTAGCAACACAAGACGTGTGTAATATTTGAATCTTTGATATCTTAGTCGAGGGTACGTAGGTTAATCAGAGTGCTTAGATTGACGTTAACGTCTATCAAATTTTTTGACATATTGCTAAATAAATTAAGTGTATACACTATTTTTTTCTCAAATAGAAGAAAGTGTACACACTTAATATTAAACTAGAAAAGTTTTTTTTTAATGACCTTTCTTTATTTAATCTCTCTTTTTATTTAGTCAACCTATTTTTATTGTAATTATTTTGCTAACGTGAGCCAACTTAGATATATAATTCACTAGGTTGAAGTTTGGAGGTTCAAATTCTCACGTTCGATATTTGTTGTACTAAAAAAATATATTTTGGTCTATACACTTTTACGCATCTGATTCATTCTTATGTCCATTTGCATCTAAATTATTCATTTTAAATCCATATACTTTCAACGTTTGTACATTTCAGTTATTATAATTTTAAAATGTTTGTTTTGATATATATAAAAGGTAACAATTTTAGCATCTATTTCTAAATTTGTAACACAAATTTTATACACAATTAGACCATTTAATACAAGACTATGACTACATGTCAACAAATTTATTGAATATAATGTCGTGTTGAACTTATGATTAAAAAAAATGAGATAAAAAATAAAATAAAGGGATCAACAGAGTCATGGTGTAAAAGTATAAGAATCAAAATAAACATTTTGAAAATATAAAAACTAAAATAAACAAGTTGAAAATACAAGAATTAAAACATACGTTTTCAAAGTATTATAGGAATAAAAATAATCAAATCTAAAATATACGAATCAAAATAGTATTTAAAAAAATATAATTCAAAGTTGAAGAATAGTGAAATCATGTTTGCCCTTTTTAGTCTCATAGATGACCTCTTATGATTCTACGAAGTGCTTAAACGTGCACAAAAGTGTAGCATTAGCACATATATTTACGAGACCCATAATTCAATTATTTTCCTTTCTGTTATGGAGAAAATTTGGAAGTTCTATGTAGCCAAAATCAACTCGAACACGTGGACCTGCATTTAAGCTCGGGTGACCCTGAGGTGAGGAGGAGCACCAAACGCTCAGCTCGATGTCAATTTGGGCATGACAATATTAGAGCATTTTACTTTCTAACATTCGATAGAATGACGATTCAAGTGTTAGAGAATCTTCTTTTATGTTACCATACTGTTCTTCTAAAGATAGATATGGAATACGAAATGTTAGAACTTCACATTTCTCACCTATAAGACGAGATCATACCTTTTCCAAAGGTAGACAAACTCCTACCATCAACTCTTGTTAGACGTACTAATTACTCCTCCTCCCGAATTCTAACCTAGACATTAGAAAATATTTGACCAAGCTCCACATCAGTGTTAGCTTCGGTTGCAAGTTCATCAAATATGAAATAACTTACTATCGCGGTTTTAGAGACCCACATCAACCCTCTTCATTAATATTTTATTTTATTTTATTTTGTCATAGTTAATAACGAAACCATTATTCTTCGACTTTGAAAAAAATAAAACTCTTTTAAATTTTAAGGAAGAATTTGATAAATTATTCGTAAAATAACCTCCAGGGGCTTTCCCGCCAATTCACATGCATGCTCGCTGACGCAATCCATTATATATCGCGCCATCGGAAAGAAAATCGAATCCCCGTTCCAATCTGGACCGTCCCATGAATGATCCATCCAACGGCCACGGATCTCAATCCGCGTACTTCATTTTCATTGGCTAATCTCACAAGACCCTTGTCGCTATATATACCGAATACTGTCTCGAACCCTCCTTGATTATTTATTACTCTCTCTTCTCTCGCTCTCCCGCGCTCGCCGGAAAATCCGTCTTCAATCTTCTCTGTAGAATTTGCCTTCCCCTGTAGATCTCAATTCATGGCCGGCAGGGGCAAAACGCTGGGATCTGGCGCCGCCAAGAAAGCCACCTCCAGGAGTAGTAAAGCCGGCTTGCAATTTCCCGTCGGTCGTATCGCTCGTTTCCTCAAGGCCGGCAAGTACGCCGAGCGTGTCGGTGCCGGTGCTCCGGTCTATCTCGCCGCCGTCCTTGAATATCTCGCCGCTGAGGTATTGTAAATTGGTTCCAAGTTTTGTTTTCAATCGCTGTGCGTGTTTTGTGCGTTGAGCTCTCTTTATGGATCTAGGGTTTCGAATTTTGCCTAATTTTGTTCTTGGGTGCTTTGGTTAATTTTTTGGAATTTGAGGAATTGGGGGATTTGGATTTGTTTTCTATGGATTGAGCTTTTGTGATTGACTTTGAGGGGCTATTGATGTTTAGGTTTTGGAGCTTGCCGGAAATGCCGCGAGAGACAATAAGAAGACGCGTATCGTCCCGCGCCATATCCAGCTCGCCGTGAGAAACGACGAGGAGCTCAGCAAGCTTTTGGGGGATGTGACCATCGCTAATGGTGGTGTCATGCCCAACATCCACAACCTGCTTCTGCCCAAGAAAACAGGGACTTCATCGAAGAATGCTGGCGGTGATGACGAACCCTAGATTTGTAATAGAAACAATGAACTGAAGAATGATTGAATGTTGATGGAAATGTGGCTATGGTCAAGATAGTGTTCTCTTACTTTGTTGTTAGATTTACCCCTTTTCCCTTCTTTTTGACCTCTATTATTTTTCTTCTCTTAGGTTACGAATCTCTTTGCTTATGGAATTTGTAATAGCCCCTCAAGGAGTAGTGCTAGAATTTCACATAGTGTTGTGAATATCATCATCATCATCTATTAATATCATCTTCCTACTTGTTCATCTTACCTGAGATTATTGAATTCTTCCTCTCATAATTAATGGGTTTTCTTCTCATGTCATCCTTTCATTGGCAAGGAGATTTGGCAACAACTGTGGTTTGAAATCTGTTATTTTCTCGTGTCTCTTATTTTCCGGTGGAGAAATTTCTTACTCTCTGCTATCTGAAGGTTTTTGTTGGTAACTTTTCTGATAATGTTTGAACAATTATTATTTGGGATAACTGTGAATTATCATGCTATGATTTTTTTGGTTCTTCTTTAGTTATTACATGTGACTTATATACAGAATAACTGAATATAAGTTGTAATGTTTGCCAATTATATACAGATAAATTTTGCAATTATTTCTAATTGTTATTACCTGTTTCATATGTTTTATGTCACTCACTTTTGGAGTGGTTGAATATATTCTCTCTCTCTCTCTCTCTCTGTCTCTCTCTGTCTCTCTCTAATATCATAAAAGAAATGGAGGGAATTTGAATCTTCAATTTATAAAGATAAGTTCCAAATATTTAATTACTTGAAAATTTTACTATATGTTGGCAATTTTTAATAATTGCTTTACTAGGGGACATTCCTGGTAAATTGGTGGAAGGGAGGAGGTTGTTTGATAGTGAGGAAATTTTGGATTTTGGTTAATGGGGTCCATCTAGAGTAAATTTTTTGTGGTGCATTGTAGAGATGCAAGACCAATGGTTTAGTGCATTTGGATTTTTCTAAAATCCTTGATTCCAAGGTTTTTATTTTATTTTATTCGATTTAATTATTGGTGGCAGCAAAATGGAGGTAGCGGTAAACATTTGCTTATTTTTAACTTAATGCAGATAATGAATTGGAGTGTAGTAAATATCAGAGGGATGACCTTGTACGTATGAGAGGCTGGGGCTTAAAGATTAAGTTGCAAAATCTGGTGATGATGTTTGGTTCAACATGGCTATGCGAACAAAAAGATTGCAGCCAACAAGAGCATAAGCCTGTGCAATGATATTTAAAAAGAGAGACATTTAATTGATACTTTTGGTTGTACACACAATCTACATCTACAAGCTATGTTGGTGAATGCTCCAATTGCCAAGATGTCAAAACTAAGTTTTTCTTTACAAAAGAATGATGAAAGTTGAAAGGAGAATCAAAATCAAAGTCTAAGTGCATTCTGGGCACATTGTGGTAATTCATGGAGCTTCTTCATACTGCTAAAGGACTTGCCTATGACCAAAATGGAGCCTAACAATTCAGAAGGTAAGAATTGGGCACCCTTTTCAACTGATTACCTATGGACTCTCATCATCTGAACTTGA